TTTTTGCGGGAAGGTGGGTGAGAGGAGGTGTATTCTAGGTAGCTGTAGGAGTCAGTAGGCTTGAAATAGATTTGTGGAACACCTACGCTCGGTTCGCGACAAACAACTGCACCTCCCAGTCGCGAACCACTTCAACTCCCCTCCCCCTCCCACATCCTGGGCCTCCTCCAGTGCCACAACTTTGCAAGCCGAAGGCTGCAGGAACAGCACCTCATATTTTTCTTGGGAACCCTGCAGCCCAATGGTCTCAATGTGGACTTCACAAGCTTCAAAATCTCCCCTCCCCTGACCTCATCCCAAAACCAGCCCAGCTCGTCCCCGCCTCCTTGACCTGTCCGTCTTTTCTCCCACCTATCCGCTCCTCTCACCTCACTGACCTACCCCACCCCCACCCCCACCCCCACCCCCACCCCCTACCTACCAGCCTCATCCCCGCCTCCATCTCCCCTTGAGTGACCAACCCCCATCCTAACTCCCCACTTACACTCACCTTTACTGGCTCCATCCCCGCCTCTTTGACCTGTCTGTCTCCTCTCCACCTATCTGTTCCTTTATCCATCTTCCATCCACCTCCCCCTCTCTCTCTATTTATTTCAGAATCCCCTTCCCCTCCCCCATTTCTGAAGAAGGGTCCAGATCTGAAACGTCAGCCTTCCTGCTCCTCTGATGCTGCTTGGCCTGCTGTGTTCATCCAGCTCTAGACCTTGTTATCTCAGATTCTCCAGCAAGGGCAGTTCCTACTATCTCTTATTGAATGGTGAGTAGGCTTGAATGAATGGCCTGCTGTTCCTAACTCCTGTTCATAATTATGTTGCAGGATGCAGCTGAGGTCAAATCATTCACTACAGAATAAAGAGGAAAAAAATATGGCTAACACTCTTGTAGGTCATCTGAGAATCAGCATGCATCTCACTTCTGTACATTAACAGTTGGGGAATTTTACTCTAAAGTTAACTCTAAATGTACCTTGCTGGCGATGTTTCCCAGATTGATCATAAGACCATAATAAATAGGAACAGGAGTAGGCCATTCGGCCCCTTGAGCTTGTTCTGCCATTCAATAAGATCATGGACTTTATAGCTTTCCTCACTTCCACTTTCCTGCATTTTCCCTATAACCTTTGATTCCACTACTAATAAAAAATCTATTCAGTTCAGCCTTAAATATACAAAAGGACACTGCCTCCCACAGGTCTTGGTGGCAAGGAGTTCCAAAAACTCTCAACCCACTGAGAGAAGAAATTCATCCTCATCTGAGTCTTAAATTGGCATCCCTTTACTCTGCTCCCAGACTCTCCTGTTAGGGGGAAACATCCTCTTTGCAATTACCCTATCAAGCTCCTTCAGAATCCTATATGTTTCAGTGAGATCGCCTCTCATTCTTCTAAAACCCAGTAAGTAGAGTTCCAGCCTGTTTAGTCTTTGCTCATAAGACAATCCCTCCATATCAGGCATCATCCTTGAAAGACTGTTACAAATTCCACAGTTATAATTTCAATAGAGACCAGGTATATTTTCAGTTTTCTTCTAGAATCTGAAGACATAGGTATGTACTGAGGGAATGAAGCCACCAATTTCTCAGTTTAAACAATAATTTCACCGCACAGCCATCAAAGAACTTGAACTATAATAACAATACTCTTAAACTTTCTATCGTGAACACAGTTACGTATACTCTGCATTAATTATTGTAATTCCTGTTTTCATCTACATTCAACCCAATGCCCTCAAATCAAATACTTACAGAAATGTGAAAGATTAACTGCTTGATCTGGGTACTGTGTCAATTATTCATTTGTGGGCTGAGATTTCTTGGACCTTCTGTTTACTTCTAATCATGTTGTCCCTTCAAGTAACCTCCAACTATTCAAAGTTGCAAACTTCCTCTTTATCATTGGTGTCTCTAGTTCTAATATTTCTTAACAATGAAGTTGAGTATCTAAAATTTTTTCTCTCTAATCTCTCTCTCTTTCTACCTCAGTCCTGCCCACAATTGGTTATATACTAGAGGTTTACCTCACTGTTAGTAGAGTCTTTTCAGATTCCAAGAGTTTTAACTTATTTCAGCAGAATTTTAACCAAACTCTGCTAATAGAGATGTTTCGTTCATTCCATCTTGTTGCAGACTCAGACAAAGTTTGCTGTTTGAACAGCATATTACCCCTAGGAACCTACTGTCCTGATAATTAACTTGTTTTCTGCTGTCTTCTTCCAGGCAACCTGGTAACGTAATAATTTAATGAAACCTAGTTGTGTTTTACCTTTGCCAGAAATCCATTGAGCCAAAATAAGATGTCATCTTCTGATGGCAAAAGCACATGGGCCATCACACCACTTAAAATTTTTCAGCAGATTTTAAGAAACGATATTTTGACAATCAATCACTAAATGTCCATTTGTTGTGCTAAATATAATAACCACATATTGTGTAAGCATGATTAATCCTTTTGAACAATGAAAAGCTTTGGAATCCCTTGATCAATTAATCTTCTATTTTTATGGTGGAAAATATGAGACGTCATACATTCCCTGTCAGTTTTAAAATATTCAATTTTAATGTTTTCTTATTCAAGTGAAACTTTATGCTTCTCAAGCTGAACTCATTAGATTGATCTAAAAGCCTTACGAGATTACTTTGGCATATAGTTCTGCCAACTAATCCAATGTAGAAGACTGATCGTCCAAAAGAAATAAATATCCAATGGTTTAACATTTAAAAGCTCTGTTTTGACATGAGCAGGTAGAACAATGTAAACTTGAGATGAATAAATTTCGCTCTGGATTTGTATTCATTCCTAATGGTGAATGGCCCAGAAGGTTCGCTGTCAGTGGGTCATGGCTAAAATTTTAATCAGAACTGCACTCATTTATTAAGGAAAATGGCCTGGTTTTTCAGAAGGCCAGATAGTCGTTTCTGCATCATAGGAAATGCGAGTTGGCACCTTGCAAAATTCTGAACATAGCAGACTCTGAGGCAGTGCCTGGAAGAGTAAAGATTCTGGTGGGCAATACCCCAATGCCTGTAATCCTCCAAAAGCATCCAGTTAAATTGGAAAACTTGGAGGGTTCCACTGCCATAAATAATTATCCAGGAAAAGTTAGACAAATGGAAAATCTAGGCTGACTTCTGGTTACAAGAGCAAAGAGGTTATACTGGATCAGTGTAATACGCTGGTAGGCCCACAGCTGGAGTACAATGTGCAGTTCTGGTCACCACATTACAGGAAGGATGTGATTACCCTAGAGGCAGTGTGGAGGAGATGTGCCAAATGCAGCTGGAGCTGGAGAGTATGAGCTATGAGGAAAGATTGGATTGACTGGGGATATTTTGCTTGCAGCAGTACAGATAGATATGGGACATGATGGAGGATTATAAGGTTAGTAGGAGCGTGGATAGGAAGTCACTTTTAACCATCAGTATAGGGTCAGTAGCCAAGAGGTATAGATTTGAGGTAAGAGGGGAGTTAAGATTTCAGTTTCATCCAGAGGGTGGTGGAAACTGGAACTCACAGCCTGAAAGGGAGGTTGAATCAGAAACACTCAACATTTAAGCAGTGTTTAGCTGTTCATGTGTTGCCATAACTTCTAGGGCTATGGGGCAAGAGCTGTACAGTGGGATTAGTGTAGTCAGATCTTTGTTGACCAATACGAACATGATTGGTCAAATGGCCTCCTCCTGTACGGTAAATGTCTTTGTCTGTAATTTTGTATGTATAGTGGAAACCTGTGTTCCAGAACTAAATGTTCCATTCTTCACACACAGTGACACGAACGTAGCAAGGGCCTGAGCAGAGGTATAGACAGGTGAAGTGAGTGGGTAGTAAACTGGCAGATGGATTATATTGTAGTGAAGTGAGGTCATTCGCTTTGGTCGCAAAATAGACATGCTGAAAGTCTTTTTTTAAGAAGGCATGAAATGCCTAAGTGTTGATGTTTAAAGACGCTTGAGTATGCTTGTATTAGGGATTAGGGCACAGAAATAAAGAAGTGTTGTTACAATTATACAGTGTTTTAGTTTTGGTCTCCACGTTTAAGGAACAATATCCTTATACTAGAGATCATTAAGTGAAGATTAATTAAATCGAACCTTGGGCTAAGTGGCTTCTCAAATGATGAAAGCCTGAGGAAATTGGGTCTATGTTATCTGAAATATAGAACAATTAGATAATCTCATTGAAACTTACAAGATTGTGAAGAAGTTTAATAAGCCAGGCATCGAGAGATTGTTTCTGCTGGTAGAGGAATCTAAAACAGGAGAGGGGATCCTATTATTTAGAGTTAAACAAAGAAAAGTTGCTACCCAGAAGTGGTTGTGAATCTTTGGAATTCTCTACCCAGAGAGTGATGTATGCTCCATCTCTGAATATGATTAAGGATGGAGTGGACAGGCTTATCAGTGGGCTGAAGGGCTTCTTCTGCACTAAAGGATTCCATGGTATCTCAAGAATTGAACGATTTGGGGAGCGGGGCTGGCAAGTGGAGCTCAAGCCCAAGATCAACCATGATAGGACACAATAGCAGAGCAGGCTCAATGGACCAAATGGTTTATTCCCATTTCTTATATTCTAGTGATCAGTTATCATCCTCTTCCCAGTCACCAGCTAACTGTTTGAAAAAGACATAAGAACATCAAGTAACACCTATTCATGTATGCTCCCTGTTAACACTAGGGTCAAAATCTATCAGATCTGCTCTAGTCCAAATCTTATCTCAGTTGTAATGTGTATATATAGGTACGGTAACTGCCCACTAAATAACAGGTGAGAGTCACTGTCTTAGTAACAAGGCAATTTGAGCATGACATCAAAAATGCCTCAGAAATTCACCAGCTCAATGCAATAATGGTGATGGAACCTGGGAATATCCTGGTTAATTTGCCCCAGCCTAGCAAAATCCACTTTACTTAAAGTTAAAATCTGAGCCGTGTAATGATCTTATCTGTACATAGGGCCAATATTAAGTTCATTTGCGGTGAAACTCTCAATTTATTTGGAATTCCAGGAAGGTTTTACACCATTGATCCAGGCTGCACAGAACAACCATGCTGAGGTGTGTCATTACCTGATCGACCAAGGGGCAGAAATCGATGCAAGAGACAAGAACGGCAGGTAATGGTCCATTATTTCAAAGGGATTTTTTAAAATTATTGCACAGTTTTAAAGATTTAGCTTCAAAAATCTTAGGTAAAGACTTTGTTTTACTTTTTGTTCTACCTTCCTGAAAAGAGTAAATTATATCTTTGCCACCGGAGACAATTGTGTTCTAAGTAATATGAGCTTGACTGTATATGTAGAAATTAAATACAATTTGTGATAACTGATACAATCTTGTTGGGTGTGCATTGCTAAAATTTGCATGCTGTAGATGAACTTATGATGACCTGGGAGAATAATTGGCAAATGCATTACTGAAACTTCACAGAACAAGCAGCAAATCGATGCAATGATACACTGAGGGTACTGATTTTTAGCATTGCTGGAAGGTTTAATTTTCTATGACTTAGGACACAATCTCTAGTTTGTGAGGCGAGTGATTAATGCATTTTTGATAAAATTTGTTCATTTGTAACAATGTTAAACTTGTTCAAAATTGTTATGCACCAGACCAAACCCCTTCAAGATGTGTCAAGGAGATAGCCTAGACCTTAATGTTTTCTTAGTTTAAAGGCGAATGCCAAGCATTGTTTTCCAGATGCAATTCAATTGGTCAAACACCAGACTTGAAACAAACCACACGATTCAGACACTGTAGTTAAAATACAGACGAAATAAAAAGAAAAGTATTGGCTTAACTGTAACTCTATCAAAATACTTAACAAAATAATGAATCACTCATTAACTGTTCCAATACAATAACATTCCATAAGCACAGCCTTGGCATGGGCAAAATCAGTGAAATAGTTTGACTCATGCAATTCTAGCAGCAGGAAGAGAACCCAAGCTTTTAGCTGTAGCAAAGGAGAGAGAGAGATGTAGCAACTTTCACAACTCCAGCAGCTGCTGAAAGCTGAAACTAAAATCTTGGTTCTGTGGGAGTTTGACCCCACCCATTCAGGCTGCTTCTATTTTTCCAACTTTTAAAAAAAAATACCAAGGTCTCACAAGCTGTTTACTTTATTGGCTTAGAGCAGAGTGCTCATCGCCTATGTCTCAATCTTTTGTCATTAAAACAAAACGGGGCAAAAAGCCATTGTATCATTACACAATATAATGTGGTTTACAAGAGGGCAACTAGGTAACTTTACAGGTCACAATTTCTAAATGTCCTAACTAGTAGTGAATAAATTGCAACAAAAGTGAGCTTGCATTTTAGATGAAATAAAATGCTTTTTGATCTCCCGCAAAATATTCCTTTTTAATTAGTCTTACATTCCTCCCTTCGCCATTACAAAGCCCCTTCCCTTTCACAAGAGGCCTGACTAATTATCTCTTCAATAAAAATAAAGCACTGTGGATGCCGAAGATCTGAAATAAAAAGTGTTCTGAGGAAGAATCATTGGATTTGAAACATTAACTCTATTTGTCTCTCCTTAGATGCTGTCATACTTACTGAATTTCTCCAACACTTTCTGCTTTAATTGTCTCTCCATTCTTTTCAGAGTGCCCACTTCATTGACCTTCCCTGGTAATTAATTTTGCAGCTGTCATAGCCTTTGGAAAAATACATTGTGTGATTCTCCTCACTTCTGTCATGCTAATTTTCAATTTTATTGCAATGGTATTTGAACGGTATTTCTGTATCAGTTTTGTGATTTTCCTTCATAATCTTGAAAACTTTAGGTCACTTTGGAATCTCTTTTCCATAAATTTCTTGGCTTTTACTTATAGTTTGTATTTCCAGGAAACAGCAGCAAGCTTCTAGCTTGCCTCTGCATCATTATCGAGGTTGATACCTCTTTAACTATTTAGTGACTAGGTTGCTAGATGAGTTCTCACTGACGTGTCTGATCTTACTCCCTTGTATGCTGATGCACATTGATTTACTGTGATACATAAAGTAGATGATTGAACGATCTGGCTGTAAAATGTCACTTCAAATTTGAATCACTAAGCTCACACATCAAGGCTGCTGTTTAAAATTGCATCCTCAAACTGTTTTGATATCACATGGTAATGAATACGAATGGGTAAATGAGTTTTATATTGCAAGAGGGGAAGAGGACCAAAATGCACATTGGATAACATAGCCAGAATAGCTTGGGGAGGGGGCGAAGGCCCATCTTTCATGCAAACTAATTTAGAAGCACTTTGCTATTTTGATAAGGCATGTTCCTGCATAAAAGGAAGAAATGGAAATTTCATGTTTCAGAATGCTCGACGAGTAGCTTCTGAGCATGAACAGTAATTAGTCAAGATTTACTGGATACAAGTTAATAGTTGAGACTACAAAATTCAATACAATTGCTTTGTTCTGAAATAATATGTAATCTGAACAGCCAGCACAGGCAAAGGATGTATGGAGCTGAGAAAACAGCTGGACTTCATTGTACAGGATTTTATTTGAATACTATAATGTTGGAAGGAAATAAAAGTATTGTTGTGTAATATTTTGCTCAGTTTTCAAGCAAAATTGACCCCTGGTGGAATATTCCTTTACCTCAGCAAATATGCTGCTTTTTGTTTTCTTCGTTTTATCCCAACATTGAACCGGAGAGAAACATTGTTTCTGGAGTTAAATACCCAAATTAAGAAGGATTGAGCAGCATTGATTCAGAACCAATCTAGTCTTCCATTGGCAAGTTGTAAATATGTTTGACACTTGTAATCCCTAAAATCCTCAGTTCAGTGATTAAAATGTGGTTATGAAATTAGGAGAATTTAGATCTTGAGAAGAGTTAAACTGTAAATCTGTGTGTGAACTATTTTTTAAAATGGTAGACTTGCAGTACTAATGAAATTCTGTTCTATTAAGTCTCTGAGAATCATTCGGTGCATTTTTATCACACTGCATCATTTGAAATAGCCCTGCCTGGTTGCAGTGCTGTTGCATAAATCAGGTGTACCTGATATCTTAATGGCACAGGTAATTTTTCCTATATGATCAGAGGTACAATGCCTGTCGCCAGCAAATTGATGCAGGTCATAAGTTTTCTTGATTTTGTAAGTGACTTCTCAGCTATTGTTAAATTTTGGATGTGTGTGGTCAGATCTGAGTGCCATAAATGAAAATTGTAATTAGTAAATCCAGTGTTTTTCCTCAGCTGTTAGAATGTGGAACCTGTTACCACAGAGCGAACAGCAGAAATTTTATTTTTAAGGGCAGGTTCGAGTCTGGTAGCATTGTGGTTAATGTTACTGGACTGGTAATTTAAGGTTATTTATGTTCAAAGAAACTGGGAAATTTACATTCAATTATTTAAGCTGGAAGAAAGAATGTCATATCAATAGTGGATTGTCATACAAATCCATCTGCTTCATTAATATCCATTTGAGAAGAAAACCTACTATTTAGTAGTCTAAAAGTCGCATCAGCTAGATCTAATTTCTGTAATAGGCTGTTTGGCGACTTTTCCTAATCAAGAAAGTAGTTGCGAATCGGAGAGAGGCTTGAAAGAGAGAATTTTAGGTTCAGTGTATTTGCGACCAGGTCAATACAGTGTGGAGCTGGAGGAACACAGCAGGTCAGGCAGCATCAGAGGAGCAGGAAAGTCAATGTTTTGGGTTGGGACCCTTCATCAGGACTGGGGAGAGGAAAGGGACTTGGACATAAACCGGGGTGGGGGAGGTATGCTGGGAGAAGGCAGGTGGGATGGTGGTAGGTGAATGTAGGTAGGGGGTTATGGCGATTGGTCAATGGGAAGGATGGAGTGGATAGGTGAGAAAGAAGATTGTCAAATTGTGCCAGGTCAAGAAGGCAGGGATGAGAGGGAGAGTTGGACATGGGATGACGCTGTGGGTGGGGAGATTTTGAAACTGGTGAATTCTATGTTGAGGCCATCAGGCTGTTAGATCCTGAGGCAGAACATGAGGTGTTGTTCCTTCAGTTTGCAGGTGGTGTCATTGTGATACTGGAGGAGGCCCAGGATGGACATGTCACCAAGAGAGGGGAGGGAGAGTTAAAATGGCTGGCAACCGGAAGGTAGTGTTGAGTGTAGCGTACACAGCTACTTGACTATACCGTGACTACACCTCCTGTCACCCGCCCTCCTGTAAGAATGCAATCCTGTGCTCCTATCTGCTGCATCTGTTCCCAAGATGGATCATTCCACTCCCAGACATC